TATTCTATTTAGATTTCTAATCAGTCACATGCTCTTTGTAGTTCAACTTCATTTCTTCAGCATTAGCTTTTGTACTAATATTTTCCATCCTTACTTGCAAGCATATTTTACAATTATTTTGTTCTTCTTTTTCTTTCCAGCTTTCTCTTATTCAACCTTACACGCTTTACCTATATACGTTTGTATATAGTTAATTTAAAACATCATATATACATATAGAGGAAAGTCCTCTATTATGAGATAGGATTCTAATGAGATAGTAGGTTTTTAACGTCCAAATTCAATCACAACTTTTTTCGCAACGATTACACGATCTAACAATCAATTTTCCACTAATCAAATTTCACTTCAAGGACAATAAATTTACGGTAGAACCAACAGAGGATGCCTATTAATTTAGCAGAAACCCCGCTATCTCATATTAGGAGCTTATCGCATAATCGGGAACTTTTCTCTACACGCCTATAACTTTCTTTGAGTAACATGAGAAAGAAAAATCGACCATGCATAAGATGTACGACGTTCATTTGTACGTAACGAGAAAGAATAGCGATTGTTTGACAATAAAAAATGCGGACTGTCGATTATTCTTCATAAACAAACGACATACGGCAAGATGTGTTGCGTGAATAATGGAATTTCAAATACGACAAGTAAAATATCGAACTGATTCACAGTCTATATGCAGAAATTATTGCGGCCAAGAAATAATTTTTGCGCCTGCATACAATCGTCCTACGTTTAATGCTCAAATGTATGTATGGTGACCTCTCCATAGGCGCACGCAAAAGCCCCAAGTATTATATGAACGTGATCCTTTGTCATTGTGTATCCAAGATATAATTATAATTTGATATAATCACTAGTTTTATCTGACATTAAACATTGCGTCAACTAGAATCTCCAAATAGATATAAATAGAATTATTTTTGTCCCGTCGGAATAAGCAAATGATAAACGCGATTGAAAATATAAAGTGTTTATTATTTATATACTACGTAGATAACGTATCAAGTGATATTCGAACTTTTCTAAATTTAAGTCTTTTAGACGTAGATTTAGATTTATTCATATTTATGAATTTCTATTCCTTGGCTGGTCATTTAATTCTATATTCCTCTTGACTGCAATTATGCAGATAATCAATCAAAAGGATACGAGCACGCAAACTACAAAGATAAGGTACAAATTATATAATAATGATAATAATATTAATAATTTACATTAATAATATTAATATTATTATCATTGTATAAAACTGTGCTAAGAAACAAACAAGCGCGGGAGTATATTTTCTCAAGAAAGTGTAGTTTACTTAAATTACTTCTAAAGATAAATAATATAAAAGATAGCAAAACTTATCTGCGGATCAATCGACAGATTCTAAAATCGGTAAGCGCGTGCGATGCGATTCACTATGCGAATACACGTGAACACGCGAGCAATTAATGCCATATTCCGCTGCTCCCGACGGCAAATGTTTACGACGCGGAACCGCGCGGCGCGGCCCGGCTACAATTAATTCGAGTCGAGTTAAGGCTGCAAAGAGTACATACCTGGCAGCGAACCAAGATGTTATATTGCAAACGTGTACGTAAACACGAGCGAGTTATCCGGATTTTCATCCGACGTGCGGACCAACTTACCGTACAACGGACCGGTGGACAACGGTCTCATTTGCCGGAGTTACCTTTTCCCTCCCCGCCAAACTGCTCCAACAATGCCCAACACCCGGCAGTAATAGTGCAATAATGCCGTGGCTAAACCGTACGGTATAAAAAGAAACCGAGTCAACGGAGAGCCGGCTTGGCTCACAGTCAAATGGCACTCGCGTTGCACTCTTGAATATCCACCGGACTTCATCTTGTCCGACAACGGACTTTTCATTCTCAGACGAAGTTCGCTCAATGCTCTCCGATCGTCAAACAGAAAGTTCGCGATTTACACCGCGTTATTTTATTGCTACCGCTTCTCGTCGATGATATTGGACTGTTCTAAAAATTAGACAATAAAAATCGACAACAATGACATAGCAATATTTCTGGCGATTCAAATAAATCGCGGAAACAATTGACAAGAAGACGAGTACATCCTAGGTATTTCAGAAGCGCATATGTATACCTTTTCTCAAGTGCTTTAGTTCGATAGAAAGAAAATTATTAAGAATAATTTAGAATACAAATGTGTTTGCAAAATTAACTAATATTTATTAAGTATTATTTAATTCTTATTTAGTTGTTTATCTGCAAGGGGGCACTCGCTCAAAAGTAGACTTAAAAACGGGCAAATCTTGGGTAATTAAAAACTTATAGTGCTGCATATGCATTTGTTGCTATTTATTATTATTACTTCTACTGCGTTTCATATAGAGATATATATACACACTTACGTGTTTATGAATTATCTTTGAAATGAGATGAAATAAAAAGAGAGAAGAAGGGGGAGAGAGAAGGAATAAAAACAGAATTGTTCGTAGACAAATCTAAAGCATAAGGCCAATTTGTGGCCTAAACTTAGATGGACGTTATTTATTAAGGCTAGACACGCGGCGAAAATAGAAACGTAAATTCCTGCACTTTCCGGGCCGGAAAGAAAATTTTCTTCGGAATTTAGAGAAATTCGGCTTTAATAAATCCGCGTTGTCTGCTCGCGTAAATTAGCAAGCCCACGCAAGCGAAGTGCGCGGAATTATTTGCCGTTAGTTCAGCGCTGGTCTATACAGGATCGTTCAAACGGAGACGAAAAACACGGTACACGAGTCACACCGATAATTCGACTATCGGTAAGATAATAAGCGTGATAGAGAAAATTAGCTTGAAAATTATTTTTTACCAATCGTTTTATTTTTTGTAATTCTACATTTCATGACAACTGCTAACTGCAGAGTAATATGTGACTGTTCTATTATA